GCTGCCTTCTTTCCATAGTCCACAACCTATCCTCAGAGGAGAAGTAGCTCTTGCTCACGTCTTTGAGTCCTAATCCTTGCTGCAGTCTCACTAGGTAGTTTTTCACTCGTTATACTATTGATCCTTTAAGCTTAAAAAATTTTTTTTTAATTTCATCCCCAGTTTTTGTAGTTGTTTTTGTCACATTCAGAGGAAATGCTGGTCAGAGAAATCTAGATTTGGTCCGTCCTTTACAGTGTTGCTCAAAGAATAGTTTGTAGGTAAGTTCCAATCTACTAGCTGTTACCAGTCCATAATGAGATAAATACAGAAACTGAGAGTAAACATTTAGAAACTGTTAGAGCAATTTGACATTGCTGTGAAATCATAGCACATGATTTTGCATTTCATAAAAGTATTCATAATATACTTGAGGGGGAAATACTGGTCCTTTACCACAGTTAATTTGAGAAGCAATCCTTTATACAATCAGGTATTAAGCTCCTACAAGCCCCCTGTTTCTCTGCTTTTACAGAATACATTGCAGAAGAGGAGAAAACCTTTTCTTTACCCTCTTAAGTAGAGGGGGCTGCAAATTAAACTAACCAATGACAGATTAGCAGGAGAAAAAAATTATTTTGTATGGACACAGCATGGTGGAGGCTGGGGAAGAGTCACAGAAAAATAGCAAACACCACAAAGAAACAGTTAGACCCAGAAGCTTATGTGCCATTTTTAAAAAGAGTGATAAAATGAGAAGAGACTAGACAAAGGAAGGCAGGTGGGTAGCTTGGGTGTCCAGGTTTGGTGGTAAGTTGTGGGAAGGTAACCAGGAAATATATGGTAAATAAGAGTTCTTTATTAAGTTTTGTCATGCAGCCATTCTCTTCCTAGTACATGAGATAGGAACACCATCACAAAGGACAATTTATGCCTTGTTTTTAGGCAGAATGAAGGAGAGCAGAGTTCTCCCTCTGCTGTTTTTCAATTGTCTTCTACTCAAAATAATCCTGTGCCAAAGTGGCATATTTTGGGGTAGCATATTCTTATCCCTTCAACATACAACCAGCCATGCCGTGTCCTTGTAGACCTCTGATCTACTTTGTTTATTTGGTGCAATTTGTTTTTGGATAATTTTTTAAATTATATGAGTAATCCAACTTTCTTATAAAATTTCTAAAATGCAGATAGACAAAAGGAAGAGACAGCTAAGACCATTCATATTCTCACCACTTTTTACAACTCAGAGTAAACCTCCCATAGTTTTTCTCTGCATATAGTATGGAAGCACTGCTCATACACTTCCATAGCAGGCTTTCTTCTCTCTCTCATTTCATTCTCTTGGAATGGAACCAGCTGGGGAAATTCAGACCATGCTTTCTGAAGCTTCCTGGTAGCCCCAGAAACACCCAAACATGGGAAGCCAAAGAGAAAAGCAATAAAAGAAGTCTTATAATTGTTTTTACAAGCATTATATTATCAAATAAAGTTTATCAAAAAACTGACACATCAAACTTGTTGTTCAAGGTTATTATATTGGAATTGTATGTATTATGAATATGTATATTTTAAATTTCTGTGATGAATACAATTTGCATAAATAATAGTATTTTTAGTTTTTATTTCTGTATCTCATAAAATTTAAAATTACCAAATTGCCTCTTTTACTTTAATGTCAATTAATGTTACAAATAACTAATCAAATAACTTTAATAATAGAATATTACTTTCACATTGATAACTTACTTTCAGACTAACAGCTCAAAGAACATGCCTTCATTTTTGAAAAGTTACACTGGTGATTGATTCTGTTTGGTGACCCCCTGGTTATGAACCATTGTATTAAAAAGTGTATGATGGTAATGTAGAGGGGGGCAGGGGATACGGGGAAGGCAGTATAACACAGAGGAGACAAGTAGTGATTATACAGCATCTTACTACGCTGATGAAGAGTTACTGTAATGGGGTATGTGGTGGGGACTTGATAATAGGGGGGGTCTAGTAACCATAATATTGCTGCTGTAATTGTACATTAATAGTAGCAAAATAATAAATAAATAGTGTATGATGGCCAAAGATCCCATTTATAATGGCAACTAAAAATACAAGATGCATAGGAGGAAAGCCCCAATAATGAATATTTGGAGCCAATATGAAGAAAGCCTTAAAACTAACTTAGAGACATGAAAGGAAATAGGCATATCATGTTCATGGATGAGAATATTAGAAGACTTAATTTCTGGAAGTTAATCTATAAATATAATACCATTTAACCAAAATATAAAAATTTTAATGTTTGACAAACTGGTTTTAAAATTCAGCTAGGAGAAAAATGCGTAGACTGTTGACAAATAATAATAATGAGATGGGTCTTATGTTGCCAAATATTACAATATACTATTACAGTATTACAAATGGCATAGTACTAGATACAAGAATAGATAAGTCAGTGGGAAAGAGTAGAAACCTAAAAATAACTGTGTGTGTGTGTGTGTGTGTGCATGTATAGAGATTTTTATTTCAAGTACTAATATTTCAGGTATGAACAACAAAATGGATTGATCCCTCCTGGTAATTGTAACACAGGGCAGTATATGATTACCAGTATTTCTCACTGACTGGTTCCGTCCTTAGGCATTGGATTCTTGCCACTTTACCACCTTCTCCTACCCCTAAGACTCTTTTTTTCCCTCTTCCAAGTCCCTCCCCAAAGCCTTTCTGTAGCTCTCAGGACAGTTCCCAGATTCTTACTGCTTTATGATGGATTAGTTTAGCTCTTTCCTTTGCCTAACTCCTCTCTCATCTAAGTTGAATAGTGCTTATCTTCACATTTCACCATTAAAAAGGAAAATGCCTAAAGAAAACTATAATTCCCTCACTACGCAGTGTTTTATAGTCCTCATACATCAACCAACCAGCTTAAACTGCTGCCAGCTTTAAAAATAGTATTTTTCTCCCCAAAATACAAAGAAATGGAAAATATTCAGCCTATCTAGTAATCAAGGAAATGCAAACTAAAGCAATCATGAATGAATTTTTTTCTCCTATCTGACTGGCAAATATTAAAAAGAATAGTCATTTAGTGAAGGCAGATAGTGGAAAAAACACTTTCACACTTTAATAGTGGCAGTATGAATTGTTACATTTTTTTTCCTGTAGTGTTATTGTGTATGCCCCTTGACCTAGCAGCCCTCCCTGTAGGACTTTTACTATAGCAGATGATCAAAGTTATTCACAGAGATGCATGATCATGGTTTTCCAGGCTTTATTTCTCATGGAAAAAATAGGTGCTGCTTCAGAGTATACTAGGCCATCATAAAAATTATTTTGAAGAAGAATCCTATTTGACATTGGGAAAATGTGCATTAGCTATGCAACAGAAGCTAGGTAAGATTTGTAAAGCCCTGTATGAATGTGAAAGTATTTTCATTTACATAAAACCACACCAAGATTTAAATAGTATAATCAACTACTCAAAATATTTACAGTCTGCTCAGTCTTCTGAGAGGAAGATTGGGTAGGAACATGTTGAAAATATAAAATATACTTTTTCTTTAGGACTTTATGCTATTGTTGAACTGTTCAGCTTGAATATGTGCATATGGTCCTTGCACACCCAGTAAGTGTAGCTGTAGATAATGGAAAGAGCATCGAACATAGATAGGCAGGGATTTGAATCCTGTCCCTGTCACATATGTGCCTACTCACTTAGACAAATTATTTGAGAATGAGAAGGGTGCTGACTTCATGGGGTTATTATAAGAATGAAGAGAGATATAACAAAGTGCTTCCAGTGATGCTTAATGAATAGTAATATTACTTAGTGATGATTATTAATGATTAATAATATATAATTAATAGTTATTAGTAGTAGTAATGAATAGTTCCTTTACTTCCCTCCTAGACCTCTCTACTTCCTCAGTATAATACCTGAAGCAGATACAGTGGAGTCTGAGCTACAGAATAAATGAATGAATGAGATACTGTATTTAAAAACACTTTATAAGCCTTAAAGCATTATGAAAATGTTAGCTACTATTAATGTTTGAATACTTTCTCTAATGTATGTAAATTATCTGACAAAAGTTTCACACACACATGTTAGTGCTAATGTTGCAATATGGACTATACAGGGTTGTTATATAATTTAAGTAAAAGAAGGCCTAAATGTGGCTGGTAATCATTTAGGGGCTTTACTGGGGAAGGTAGGATTGGAATGGAACCTTGAATTAAGGTAGGTTTTGAATATGAGAAGCAACATGTGCAGAAGCATATGGCAAAAAAGAGAAAAAAGAAAGAAAATGGTATGGTCTGGGGGTACCAATGAGACTAGTCTGCCTCCAGGGTGTGGTATTCCTGAAAAGGTGTAGGGTAGGAGAAGGGGCAAGGTGTAGCCAAAACGAGAGGCCTTACTGATCCGGTGAGAAAAACAGAATCACATTATGTTTGGGGGCAAGATAATGACACTGTGTCACTAAGACATCAGTGTGTTAGGATATGTTTGTAGCAATTAACTTTGGTAATGGAAGTATAAATAAAAATAAATTATGGATTAGCTAATTATTTTCTTCCTTCCACAGTATATAGTTTGAATTTCTATTCAGTGGTGACAGCTATATTAAATATTTAAGAATCCTTGTTATATATTAAAATGTTACATGACATGACTAGATATGGATAATTGCTGAATCTGACTCAAATATATGCCCATGACCCCTAACATTGCCCTTTTCTGAAGCTTATTATGGTAACCTAAAGAAAAGTTAGTCAGTTTGCAGTACCTTATGTTATTTGATGCCACCATTTGCTTGTTCTTCCTGTTTCTTCCCCTGTAGATTTTCAGCGTCAAGATGATTAATAATGTCCTTTGTAATTTATGTCTATTTCTCATGGAAAGAAGATTTAAATAATTTATTATAACCATTAGCTGTAAGTCAGCTTATAACTTAATTACATTGTATTCCCTTTCAATGTTTTCTTCATGAATTTCTTCTTACATCCTTTTTTACATTTCTTTACAGTATGGATGGAGCAGATCTGTGTTTTGAAATCGTAAAGCGAGCTGACGCTGGTTTTGTATACAGTGAAGCAGTAGCCAGGTATGTAATTTGCATCAACTCCCCAGAGGTCAAGGTGGAAATAAAAGAAGGAAATAACAAAAATAACAAAAAGTGTCCTTTTTGAACTGGTGATGAACATACTGCCAGTCTTTCCTACAAGGAGCATATCTGTTTCAGTGTGCATTAATGGAATCAAATAGTGACTGGAGATGCAAAATACTGAACAATCAACTTATCTATTAATACAGTATAAATATGAAAAATCACAGGAACCACGCAGTAAGCCACTTGCTTATAGGTTTAGAGCAATATGGCTTTCTGCTTTGATGACACTCAGTCAAATCTTAAATACCCACTAGAGTGGGTTGCCTTTTTCATACATGAGATATAACATCTCTCCTCAGTCACTAACCATAATAGGTTGAAGGGCTCAAACCCACAAACCCATTAGGATTTACTAAAACTTTCTACCATTTGAGAAACAGTTACCATTAAATGATTGTAACTTCCACCTTCCTAATATTTCTTTTTATAATTATGACATCATGGATGGATATAGCTAGAAACAGCTTAGAGACTATCTAATATCATTTGAAGCTCAGAATGGCTTGGCTTGGCTTCCTTCAAATTTATTGCCCTGCCTCCTTCGGGCTGAAGAGAAGGGCCCCAATCTCAGGAGATGGAGCAGCCATAGCTATAACACTAGATAAAGAATATACTCAACCTGAGGGTAACTACTGTTTTGTACTATTTTGGAGCTAAGGAAAATTTACATGTATTAACTATAATTACTTTATAAACTCCGGATGTATTCATGGTAGAACCAAGACTAAATATCCTCTTCTCTTTTGTGTCATGCTTGCTAAAGCACATTGTAGAGGTCCTTTTTATCCCATTTTTCTATTGTTTTGAGTTCTTACCACAATTTAAAATTTTTAGACTCAATTGTGCCTCAGAATTAACAAGCGTTCTTTAGTACTAAAAGGCAATGCCATCTTGATTTTCTTATGGCATAGTGGTTAAACTACTTCATCAAACTAAATGAAACTCTCAGACCTTTGCATATCATTGTTTATATTTATTTCTTCAAGAATTTGAGACAACTTGCCTTTTGTACTTTCCCACACTGGTATCTTTCAACAGCAGCATCAAATAGGGAAAACTAAAGATTCTCAGTGTTGATTTTATAAAACAGTGAAGCTTGATGGAGGAAAATGACTTTTTCCTTTTTGAACTACAGTAACACTGGAATGCCTGGCACATAGCTGTCAGGGTTGAGTTAAACCAGTACCACTTTTACTCTATTCCCCATTTATCTGCATGGCTTTTCTTAACTTTGAGCCTGTCTCTGCCCCTGGGCTGGGGGTCAGGATAGGGAGAACAGTAGTCTGTAGAGATGATATCATACAGTGAAATGACTTGAGGTCTCTCCCAATCTCGTGATTTATAGAAAAGGTAAGTGTTTGTATGTATCAAGATGAAAGCCTGTTGATTTTTAAATCCACCTATATTTTCTGTTAAAATGGTGATTTTATGAAATGAAGTTCCCAGAATGGACCAGAGAAGTGTACCATTGGGACCAGTAGGTGACACTGCAACAAGAGAGGTTTAGCACAATTTACTAAAGGTCCTTCCTAAAAATGACAAGAGGGACAGGGGGCCTCAGAGAGTATTATTAGGTCTTTTCCCTATTGCAGAGGATCAATAGCCATGTAACAAGGGCATATAGTCCTTCCTTTGGTGTAGAATGTTTATCCAGATGCCTTCTAACCTTCCTTCTTCCTCTCTGATTCTGTGATTCATTGCTGGGAAATTCAGCTTGCATCAGTATTCTAGTGAGACCAGCTGCAAGAAGACTGAGACACCAAGTAATCAAATTGATAATGTTGTTTTTCTCCAACTGGCTGAGCTTCAAGAGGAGCAGCAAAGCATGCCCTAAAATATAACTGCATTCAGTCCTTACAACCCAATTAGTGATTACCTCTCTTCGTTCAGGGGTGATGAGTTGTGGAGTGAGCTAACATGCAGGATTAAATTATCAAATCAAACTCTCACAAATCAGAGATCTTCTTACCTAGTACCAAGCTTTCCTAAATAATTACAAGGATACAGGCAATCCAAAGGCTCAGCTAAAGAAGAGAGGAAGAGGTCAAGGGCAGCTGCCTGCATGATTCCTTCCCACAGCAGACATGCACCTCTGGCCCAGAATATTTGAGGCATCTACATGAAGTTTGTGGGATTACACACACACATACAGGAGAGCATTTCAGTTATGAAACATCTCAGGAAGTCATACATGCCTCAAAGATCCTGGGTTCTTTTTACCGGAGGTAATCCTTAGCCAGGGACATATGTTAAGGGCATTTCAGAGGTAAAGCCTCTTCTGCCTAGCAAAGAGCATAAGTCGTTTTACCCAGAGTTGACAAGATTGTAAACTGGGTCCCCTCCCTTCTTTTCTTCCACCACCCCACCACCCTTGAAATGCCTCCTTCCTAAGGAAGTGAGTGGATTGCTCGCCAGCTCTTTCCTTCCCTAGAGTTGTCATCATTCCTGATCCTTAGAGAAAATGGAGACAAACATAAATATTGCTGAGTTTCTCTGAAAGTATAGAGTATCATGATGCTTCATGAAAATGAAGCTTTCTGGTTAAAGCTTACTCAGCAACTCTGTAGAGCATGTGGGTAGAATTGGGTTCTTTATTCTGCTTGCACACTGCTCACATGAACAGCCTCCCAGGATTGTGACTGGGAGGATGGAGAAAGATCAGTTTAAATCTGTTTTATCTGGGGAGAAAAAAATTCTGCCATCATCCCATACGGCTCAGAGATTCTGATATGTATGTATATTTGGGTCAAATAATTGGGTACTCTGAGATTTTAAAATGCTCATTCTTTGAGGGCTTTTTTTTTTAATGAGGCTTTGAGGTAGGAATTTTCTTTAGGCTAAAGATAGAAGTGGCTGTTTGAGTGCTGTGTCTCCGAAGTAGCTCATACTATCGATCTAAGCTAGGCCCACATTACCTAGTTTGAACTCACTCTTTATTCCAGTGTTCACATCTAAATGTACAAGTAGGCTATTTCTAAATCACTGACTAAATTTAACAATAATAATAATATTGTAATAATAGTGGCTTAAACTTGGCAGCATGGTTTAGTGTTTACAAAGCCTTTTGCATTTGTTGTCACTGCCATTTCATGGGATCACAGATCCTCCAAAACCTTACTTGAAACCAGGAAAGGGCCACAGCACCAAGAAGCCCTAAGTTAAACAGAAACTTAATTACAGACTGCACAGGCCCAGGCAAAGGGTATATGGCGGCAACCCCTTTTGCATGCATTTGCAAAGTAAGAAAAATAACATATTACAGCTGAGGGTGACATTATCCTAGCTCTCTGCCTGCAATCTAGTTGTGAGGAGACAATCAGTACAGGAACAAAGTCTGGATTTGTTTGGGGTTTTTTCCTACCTTTCATTTAAAAATGGAACCTTCTGATCAATTGTAATACGTGAAATAATGCATACACTTATGAGAGGGACATTATGTGAGTTTGGTTAGATAGTAGCATACCAAAGAGGGAACTTGATGGAAAGGTCTTTTAGTTGTGAAGCAGGGGTGGGAAAGTTTTTTGTCTGTTTGTTTGTCTTGAGTCACAAACACATGCATAGGGTCATTTGTAAGTACTATTAAATTATTCAGTTATTATAATAAAGATTTTATAAAGAATATAAGATCTGGAAAGATAAACAGTTCACTACTATACAATAAATAATGTTGCATGTATTGCATTTCTACGTCTTGGCTGGTTGGGAGGGAAAAGGAGAAAAATGAGAAAGAAAGAGGGATAGTAAGAAAAAAGAGAAAAATAGATAGGAAGGGAATAAAATGCAGAGGAAGAGAAGATGAACAAGACTGAACTCAGGGGAAGCGAGAAAAAATAGTGGGATTATGAAGAACTTTAGAGTTGAGGGAAGGAAGTCAAATAAAGTTCTGAAGTAATACTAAACAGACAATTCTTATTACTCCCTGTTGCTGGTTAACCCTCTTACCACTTTTTTAAGGATTGTTATTGAAATGCTAACTTCTCCCTTGTTCTTCACCTGGACCCAGTTCAGAGCCTCAGTAGACCTCTGCTGGCCTTGGGAGATGTCCAACTTCCTAGGACTTCGGCCCAGAACAAACTCTGTTTTGTTCAAGTATGCTCCAACTAAAACTTGATTATGTTGCAAAAAAAAATGTAGGTCTAGGGAGTTATTGCCTGTTCTTTGTCCTTAGAGCTAAATGGAAATAAGGCAGAGAGCCAGCCTCTACTGGCAGATAAGAGGCTCTCACCCCTTTAGTCAGAATCCTTGGTGCACCTCCAAGCACTGATCACTTAATAGCAATCCAGTGTAACTAAGGAGAATGAACTGAGTGTAAGAGAACTGTAATTTTTTTCATGGTTTAAGCTTGAATTTTTAGTTTGCAGAGCTATTTTGCTTATGAAGTGTGTGAAATTCTTTTGCTTTAAACATCTTAGAAAATAAACACAGTATTTCTTCATTGAAGCTCATAAACTTATGAGTCTGCTAAGTTTGCTATTATTAAGCCTCACATTCCACCAGTCCTTTGTACTCCAACGAAAAGTGCCCCTTTTCGTTGTGCAGCAAATGTGAAGGTGGGAGTTACCAAATAGGGACACTGTATATTAAGTTTTAAAAATAAAAGATTTTTTACAGTTTAGATTTCTTTTGTTTTTCTGCAGTCATTACATGAGACAGATACTGGAAGCTCTACGATATTGTCATGATAATAACATAATTCACAGGGATGTGAAGGTAAGTTATTTTTATCACTAACTTTAATTTTTGTGAAGAGAAACTGACTTACAACGAAAGTGATCAGAAACTTTTCTTTAATATTCTTATAGAGAGCATCTTAGAGTTAATTTTACTTACAAATAAGAATTAAAATAACTGCTTTGTATTTGGAGAGTCACAGTCTTAATTCTGAATAGGAACACCTTGTTATAATTTCAGTTTCCTTATTAAAATGTAAATGCATTCTAAAATTCTGTTATTCCTCTTTTGCCATTGTGTGTGTAAGAGAAATTAAAAATCCAACAAGTAGGAAGAACTGAACAATATTTGTAATGAACTGGGGGGAAAATTAGAATTTGGCTTACATAGTAAAATTTTATTATATGCTTATATTTTTGTAATGTTGCAATGTTAGAAGAGTCAGCATTTTATTTTCTTTGCAGGTAGCTTCACACATAGTCTGAAATCATAGTTATAAATGTCATGCAGTTGGTACCTGGAGGACTGTAACTATATTACCATTATTCAGTCTTTCTGCCTCTTTGATCCTAGTATCGAGTTTATGAAAACTGTCAGTCCCTGACTCATAACACTGTGAGGCAGGCCATGGAGGCATGCAAGAAAGGAGACCAGTGGGCTTTCCTCCTGATGCCCAGTCCTTTCCAAGGCCTCGAATCACTAAGAGCCCCGAGACCCCTCTGGCCCTGTTGCCCACTTGCATGCTCTGGTGTTTTGCCACTGTCCTCTCTCTAACCCACAGCATCCACAGACATGGTGCTCCCCTCCCTCAAGGCATATTATCAAAGGCCTGGCTTTTTCAATGTATTTTAATGGTTAAGAAAGTTAAGTAGAGTTCAGTTAAATTTTCTGTAACATTTGGGAAATTTTAACTGAAAGTCTTGTGGTTAAAAGCTGAGGGAAATCATGAGTAATTCCAAAACAATCTAGTGGAACATTATAATAGCAAATGAAAACCATTGGAGAAATGTACAAAATACACATCAGTGTAAATTAGTTGTAAATATCTTATTCATTCTTTTCAAATGTGGTGATAGGAAAATGATAGTTATTATCAACACTCAACACTGAACAACCCGATGGATACATAAAACTTCTATAAAAAATGTATTCTTCAGTTATACAAAGAGAATAAGAATTGTGGAAAGATAAAAGGGGGAAATTAGTCAATGATAGTAGCACTCTGTTATTCTTTTGCATCTAATTAATATAAGACTGCATTATACAGAGTAAAATATATCTCCTTGTATGTATTGTAAAATACATGGCAAAATGACAGTTTGAAAGCTTAAAATGTCTTAGTTTAAAAATCTTCATGTAATAGCATTGTATTAAAAATGCTTTTTTGCTCAAGAGGCAACTTTATTTTGAATTCTGTTCCTGAAAGGTAATTATTTCAACATCATGTAATAAATAATGATTGACAACATACTTTACCATAATACTTGGAATAATATGTCAGCTTTTGATTAGCCATGATACGTGCTATAATGACAATCTAAAACCAAATAATACCCCAAAGTAGTTACATTCGAATGCTGTGCTTCACCTTCTCATTTACTTTCTGATTGATTTATTCAACAAAGATTCGAGTGCCTACTTCATGCAGAATACTGTGCTTGGAGCCCTACAGATATTATGGTCTCAGCAGGGAGATGAGGCAATGATCTATTACAGCCTGCTGCAGATCAGCACACACCAAAACTTAGTGACTTCAAACAACCAACACCATTTATTTGCTCACAGTTCTGCAGTTTGGCAGAGCTTGATGGGGACAGCTTAATTCTGTTTCACAAACTGTTGGCTGAGGCGGCATGGCTAGTGTCCATGAAGGCTTCAGTCACTCTTCTGGTATCTCAGCTGAAGTGACTAGAACAGCTGGGAGCTGGCTAGGCCCTCTTCATAGTCCCTCATTCAGGGTACCTCCCTCTCCACATGGCCCCCCTCTGCAGGAGGACAGTTTCTCAGGGCTCCAAACCAGCAAAAATGGAAGTTGCCAGGTCTCTCAAGCATAGGCCTAGAATTGGTACTGTGTCATGTCTCCAGCATTCTGTTAGTCAAAAGGTCACAAGAGTAGGCTGGATTCAAGAGGAAGAGAAAGAGATTGCACCTTTTGGTTAGAGATGCCACGTATGCGTACAAGGATAAGAGAACTTGTTTGTGGTCATCTTCACAGACAGACAAAACAAGTAATTATCATCCAAGGTAGAGAGTGAGAAATATCATTAAAAAACAGAGCCAGAGAAATTCATGGGGGAGGTCATGTTTGAACCTTATCTTGTATCATGGGCTAGTTACATGGAGACAAGAAGACAGTTCAAGCAACAAAAAATTGTGTGTGCACAGGCTCAAAGTTAGCCTTGCACTGGATTTTATTAAATCAGTTTATTACCTCTAAAACACATGCCAAATAATTTTAAGGAAGCATCCAGAAACATGCTGAGGAAGGGGAGAGGAAAGTAACTCTCAAACTGCAAATTAATGAGAGGAAAGCACCAGAAAAGGCACACATTAATGTTGATATTCTGTATATTTCAGTACCTGAAATCTGTACATTTCAGATGGGTAACTGGAATACTCACATTCACCTAATTGGTAATTTTTAATTTGAGTGTGTTTTTCTTAGGAAATTCATCCAAAAAAACATGTACTGAGTACCTATGGTGTGTCAGGTATTATTCTGGATACCGGAGCTACATCAATGAGCAAAGCAGACAAAATCACTCTCCCCATGGAGGTAACTTTTAGTTCAGGGAGACAAATTACCAGTCAATGAGCATAAATAAGGAGTTGCTATTTTAAAAATAAGTTGATCAAAGCAGGCCACATTGAGAAGATGACATCTGAGCAAGGAGTCCAAGGAGGAGAGAGAGTGAGCTGATTTCCGAAGGAAAAGTGTTTAGGGTAAAAGGAACAGCCAGTGCAAAGGGGCTAAGGCAGGAACATAAACTAGCCTGTTTGAGGAAGAGCACAGAGACCAGCCTGGTTGGGGGGCAATGAGCAACACGGAGAGTGGGTAGTAGGTGAGATTAGAGAGGAAAGGAAGGGAGAGACTTTGACTTGTACTCTGAGAGAAATGAGGATTCTCTAGAGTTTTGAGCAAAGACAGACTCTGCTCTGACTTGTGCACAGAAACAGGACCACATTGTTTTGCTGAAAATACACTGAATAGGGACTCAAGGTAGAAGTGGTCAAACAGGAAATGGTCCTATGTGGCAGAACCAGATTGGTAACAGTAAAAGAGGGAAAAAAGTAGACTCCACATATATTTTGAAGGTTGTATCAACAGGATTTGCTAGTAGAACTTCGGGAATTTAGGTAACCCAAAGTAGTTTTATTCAGACCTTGTTATAGGGTTTTCTAAGGTAGTAGTTGTAAAAAAGTTTAATAACAATGCATTTCACATGGCTAGTAATTTAAATTTTCATTTGCTATATTGTTAATGTTTTTGTTAATAAAGCAGCCTATTAGTTTTTCTTCACATTCAGATATATATGCAATGACTTATCTGTATGTAGATCTCATTTGTATGTAGATTTCGGTTTTTGTAGATAAAGTTTCTGTCAGTTTTCTCCTTTTATACTTAGTAAAGAAAAGAGAAGAGCATGCCAATGTTTCATTCCTTTTAGAAAAAGTTAGATTATTTAATCATCTGTTCCATCTAGGCAGGAATATTCTCATACCCTCTCCCTCCCTCCTTTCTCCCTGATATTCTTGGCATTAATCCAGAAGCATTACATTGCCCAAAGGTCCTAGCATTCTACTGATTAATAATACTTTTTTTCCGTGGTAGACATTTCTTTTTGAAATCACCATAATTGAGTCTAAAAATGATTGGTTAAGGCGGAGAAAGACAAATACCAAATGACTTCACTCATTTGTGGAGCATAAAAACAAAGCAAAACTGAAGGAACAAAATAGCAGCAGACTCACAGACTCCAAGAAGGGACTGGTGGTTACCAAAGGGGAGGGTTTGGGGAGAGAGAAGGGGATTAAAGAGCACTGTAATTCACAATCACAATATAAGTAGGTCACAGGGAAGGCAGTACAGCACAGAGAAAACAAGTAATGATTCTGTAGCTTCTTATGCTGCTAGACAGTGACCGCAATAGAGGGGGAGAGGACTTCATAATATGGGTGAATGTTGAAACCACAGTGTTGTTTATGTGAAAACATCATAAAATTGTATATCAATGATACTTTAATAAATAACAAATTAAAATTGAAAAAATAAAAATGATTGGGTGTATCAAGTTAGATTTGAGTATATGGTGTCACTTGACCTGTAGTGAACCCTGCTTGCTTTGGAGAAGGAGGTTCACATGAAATTGCATAATCCTTTCAAATTCAGAGAGATGTGTCTTCATAGTACAGGGCTTCCCAGCAGCTACAATAGTAACATTTTGGGCCAGGTACTATGTTGTAGGAGGCTGTCCTGTGTATTGCTGCCTTTACCTAACCTCTGCCCACTAGATGCCAATAGCATTTCCTCCAAGTTGTGACAATCAGAAATGTCTCCAGATGTTGCCAAATGTCCCCAGGGGCACAAAAATCACCCCTGGTTAAGACCCACTGTCAAAATATAATGTTATATTTTTCATACTTTGCCTCTCTACAGGCATTAACTAAAGCATGCATGCAAATTTCTACTTTTTTCCTGTCATCTTCTTCCCTTTTATTTCTCTCTTTCTTGTGAAAGGATGTGAAAACTTTCATTATGTTTCAGTGCTTTTCTCTTTTCTTCCTCTCACGCCCAAATTAAAAGTACTTTAGAGAGAAATAGTACAGTTGTCAAGGTAAATGCAACTCCTGGCTCCTTGCCTGCCTTTGTTGGCTCTCTTAGGCACTGAGAGTTAGTGGAATTTTCTTGTCTCTCCTGCTCCTGGAGACAGTCTCACAATGCATCAGCTGGATGTGGAGACATAAGCAATCCTTAGACCTTCCTGTGGTTTTGACTTATTGATGTACAATTTTAGTAACCAAAGTTGAAGTTAAGGAGCTTCTCTGAATGCAAACTGCTATACACACAGCCACTTTCTATTCTAAGTGGGGCCTGTGCCTGGGAAGTTTGGAGGCTCAGTTTTTCTTAGAACCATGCAAAACCCCAGTCTCACAGACACTCAGCCAGGAGCCTCCACTCAAGCGTTTCTGCGTGTGCTTCCTTGAAATGGTTTTCCTCGCAAACCCATGAACACGCCTGGCTGCTCTTTGGTCCCCTTCTGCTCTCGGTTCTCCTTTCACCTGCTTATAGGGCCAGACTTCACTGTAAACAGGTGTTGGTCACATCATACTAGTTACCGTGGCATTGTGAATTTCTTACAGTATTTCTTCCTCTGTTGCTTTTGGTTGCTGACATTTCTTTTATATAGTTTACCACAACTCTCACAAGTCCCTCATGTGTGTAAAGAAATTGAAATTCTCATTAAAATGAAACCATACTTATTTTATTATTTATTATAAAAAAAGCACACTGTTAATCTTCTGCATTACTTTTGTTAGGTTGATGAGAACATAATGTGCATGTTCAGCTTGAATGTGGAGTTCTAATAATTGTACTTAGGAAAATCTCATGAATTACAAGGTCATCTTAAATTCATCTTGTATTTCTAACTGCTGTGCTTCTCTTCTCCCACCCCACACTTCCAAAAAAAAAAAAAGCCAACCTCTTGATTTAAAAAGAAAAAAAGGACTGTTTTGCTTCTTAGGTGGAAGTCCTTTCAGTTCTCCTCTCCTTCTTAGCCCGGGGGAGCAAGTATGTGTGTTATAGCCAAAGTGGTTTTTTCCATTGGGTGTAAAACCTTTCTTACTGTAGTAACTCTTCCCACTACTACCAACTCAATTTGAATTTGGGGGCAGTCAGAGGAAGGTTCATGGCATTAGGCTGCAGGATGGAAATGCTTAGCAGATAACCAGTGTCCCTCTGTGCTCCCTTTGTGGTTTGTCAAGCAAGATTTCCTTTCAACTTGTCTTCCCAAATTTGTTCATAACAACTCCCACCCTGCAGACTGCAAGCTCAAGATAGGCTGTGAAAGTCCTTATCAAGTCAGAATAGGATTCACATCTTCCATTTCTATCCAGGGAGTAGGAACTCACTTCCAAGTCGAGTTGGTCTCCTAATTTTGCTTGTCTATTCTTAATGGTTTGTGTTCCTGATTAATAGTTTGAAAGCTGTCTTAATGAGAATGTCTATATGGAAAGGATAAAAGGGGAAATAAACATTTGTCATGCCTGTTTTCTATAGTTAAGATATAATCTTATTGACCTATCTGTCAAAATTTGAGGTTTCTGAAATTGTGTTTCACTGTAATCCACAGACACATTAGAAACACTGTTTTTCTGAAAACCTATACTTTAAAGTTAGGGTAAATTTAGAAAGTAGTATTTCACATAAAATATTTAGCATGACATTAAATAGCCAGTTCTTCAATTACACAAAAAATTCAACATGATTTACAGCTACCTGTTCAGAAAAGAATCTATGGTGTAAAGATAAACATGGTGATAACTAGTTCAGTAAAGAGAATTAAAAAGAGAATTTTCTATCAGAATGAGTAACTTAAAGAGAAATTGCATACATCTCTTCCTGCCTTTTTTAAATGTAGGAAACTCTAGGAAAAACTTCTATTTAAAGTTTACATTGGTGATGTAAAGTTATTTTTAATGACTCTTTTAGTCATTTTACATATTTTTAAAACTCCTAAGTGCAGTGAGATTTAATATAGTATCACTTATGTTAAACAAACACTATTGATCATCATCTCATTTCCTCTTTAATGGGTTTTGGGTTTAAAACTTGCATACAGATAAAAGTACTGGTATAACTGTGGAGAAAGTGGAATGTGTCAGTAACTCTCCTGGTCGACTTGGAGATACTCTGATTCTCATGTCTATGAAATTACTAGATTGGACACCTCTGTTTACAGCTAGCACTTAGGAAGTCACCTGGAGTTCCCAGGTCTGCCTTTGTCTCTGCAAATTAATCAGCCAGAAATCAGATTGCTACTATAAAAGATGTACACTGTAAATAGTTGAAGACAGCATGTGTTCTTTTAGACTTTTCTCTAAACATTTTCTTTTCTTAGTTAAGCATTGAAGTAAAAGGAGAAAAAAATATTTACTGTTTGTTTTCTGTTCTTTTCTTAATGAAAATTACACAGATGTGTGGAAAAATCCTCTAGTGATTTTGAACACATGGCTCTAGAATCTGCAGTGAATTGTTTCTACATTTTAATTCAGGAATAAAACATGCTATAAGATTAAAGGCTTGGAAGTGCTATGTGAACTTACTTTCAACTTCTTTTTGAGCACTGAAGAAATTGCCATGTAGAGAATAAATGAATCTTTAAGCAGTCTAAGTAGCAGGTTACAGTTAATGTTTATTCAACTTCAGTTTTATTCAGCTGTTTTTGTTTGGTTCTCATCTGAGCAGAGGATGCATGTACTGTGGAAACAGAAGTAGAAAATAGACTATAGCTCCAAAGGTGCTTATAATCTCTTTGGGAAGATAAAAGACACATTAAAAATTTTTTAATTATAATGTATATAGTACAGAATATAGTCACCATCTTTTGTCTTACAGGATTACATGGAAGAGAGAAATGACCATTAAGAAATGCTTATTTTTAGATTTACTTAGATATTGGAGAAAATTTGGGCAACTTACTTAACTATGCACTTCAGTTTTTTCGTTAGTAAATTGTCATACTTTAAGGTTGTGATGATTAAAGTAATACATGTAAAGCAAACAAGCAGAATGCCTGTCACATAGCAAATGCTTAGTAAGTGCTAGCTACTCATAACAGTAACATCTTCTCATTTAATAATATTACCTATGAGTTACAGAGCATATTTCCATTCTACAAATGAAGAAATTAACATCCAAGAGGGTAATTTGCCTTAGATTGCCCAGCTAAGTAAGAGGTAGAGTTAGGATTGAAACAGAGAACAGTCTCTCAACAAACAGTACTATTATGCTGCCTTATCATTCATTCACTTATTTTACAAAACTTAATTGAACATATATACATGCCAGGTACTGTTTGTCATTAATAACAACATTATATTGAATACAGATGAAAATCTACAAAATGTGGTGAAGATCAGCATATAATGACTTCATATTAGCCTTTTATGTTGTTTACAAATCCTAGTCCAATTATTTAAGCTTAATTTTAAGTAACATCTGCTTAATACATACTAGAATCCATGAATATTGCTTCTCCGAGTAACATGCACCAGAAAAAAACAAACAAATAATGTGTTTATAAAACCCTGGATTTTTGTACTGTAGTCTTCATATATTTAGATAGGAGGAAATTTCTTACTCACTTTTTTCTTTCACTCATTTTTAAAGTTACCAACAAAATACTAGTCAAAGATGGACCCTTGTATTCTAACTACTAGACAGCAGAAAAGTCATAAACCATTTGCTTCTTTATCCTACAGTCATGAAATACTGTTTTCTGAACAGAAGCATCCATGGTTGAGTTTCAACAGAAAATGGTCTGTGGGTTTCATATGCAGTGGGATCCTTTCAATATGCTAGGTTTTTGCCTCTGAAAGTCTCTGCCATCTCAACTTTCCATATAAGCAGTACTGTAAAGTAAGTTTTGTGATTGTTTGTTTATTTACTTTTACAGATCAAAGAGATTTTCTCAGTGCCTGTTACCAGCTAAGCTATGACCTGTTAATCATATAGTTTAGAGTCCCAACTGAGTCATAAGGACACTTTCTATTTGGTGGTGTTTTCTATTCAGATGTCAATGGGAGGGTTGTATATGTGGTGAATGAGATTTTGTAAAAAGATTATATAGTGTCTTCTTGAACGTTTTATCTAAAAGAAGAAATATAATGGGATCCGTGCTACTTCTGGCTGATGCAAGACAAGTGAAGATGTTTTTTATTTCAATTAAGGAATTCAACTGCTGACAGTCCTCTCTTTGATGTAGAACATAAAAAATGGGTTTAAAAATGCTATATGGAAGAAAGCAAACTATTAGTAGAATCTGAATGACTAACAGATGCCTTTTCACAGAACTGTAAGTCAAATCTTTCTCCATAATGGATGTGCAGGTCCTTATTTTTCTCAGATGGCTAACAAAAGAATAGTATGATGTTAGTACAACTAAAAATGAAAATCCGATAAAGGTGGTTCCGATGAGGCCTGCGATCTGAGAGATCATGCCTCCTAGTTCTATCTGCCGATTATAACACACGTTCTCTCCTCCTGTCGCCTCAACAACTGAGTAGTATACAATAACTGGAATAATTATGCCTAGTACAACTCCCCATATGTAAACACATAGTTTTCTAGCGAAGTTGGGCTGGCGAAACTTTTTCAGTAAATGGCCATAAAATATTTTCTCATAGCACGAAGTGGTCTCTTGTGTGGAATCCTTTTTCATTAAGGTAGCATAGCGGCTTATGGCAATCCAGCTTAAAATTAAGAGGCTGACAAACATACTTACATGCATGGATAGAGTTCCCAAAAAATTGACCACCCTGCATTGTGCAGAATGGTATTCCCATTGAAAACCTTTCAGGAAATAGATACCCATAAAAGGCATGGCACTGCACACAAGTAGGTTTGCAGTCACAAGATGTCCTAGGTAGATGTGCGTTGATGTTTTCTTACCAATTCTTGTTAGAAATACCCATTGAGAGAGAGAATTTCCAGAGAGACCAATGATACAAAGGAAGGCGTAAATGATTGGTAAAGCCATGGAAGAGATCCTGGATGGCTGAATACATGTTGAGTTGTTACTCATTTATATCAAATTTTCTTGAATTTTGTCACAGAAGCTAGAACAGAATTGCAGATAACATTAAAATTGTAGATGGCATTTAAGTCGAATCGTTTTTTTTAAAGCACTGGATGAAATAAAACAGTAAACATATATGTATTATGTGGAAAGGGAAAGTATAGATGCCTGCTCACCTTTTCTAATCAGGACTGTCCAGTTGAAATAAAGGCAAGAAGATGATTATTGTGGATAATGCCTTGGTCTAAAAACAAAATTTGATACAAATAGTTAAATGCCTGAGATTTATCACTTTATACTAGAGGAATTTTTAGTTCTTATATTAGACTATAAAGCAATTATAAATTAATTATTAGAAAAGTAATTTTTTAAATTTAAGGCACATACAAGCAATACATACTGGCCAAGGGAAAATGTTGCAGAAGTATTTTGTGGTCACATTAATTGAAGACTGATTTTTTATAATCACCTTAATTTTACATAAATATTTTTCAAAATGGCATCTTTTCATGACTAGGTTAAACACTTCTCTGTAATCTAATAACATTAGAAGAGTTTCTTTTCATATTTCAGAAGTAAACTTAATTCTATATACATAAATGCTCAGGCAAGATCCTGAATTGAATAGAAGGAAGGTATAATAACCAAGGAGAGACACCAAAATCCCAGGTGTTTTTTTTTTTTTACCAGAGGGTGTCAGTAATTTCTTATTTCAAATGTTTAATGCTAAACTATCATATTTTAATAAAATGTTTACTTTAAAATTCTGTATCAAAGCTGGAGTTGCTAGGCTTGTTGGTTAGAGCGCCCTCATGTGTCTTCATGTGTAATTTAGTATCTTGGTGTTCCAGAGAATGTTTTTTTAGAAGATACTTTAATCACAGCATAAATGTCTGTGTGGCTTTTGCTTTTTCATGTCTTATTTTTAAATCTTTCTTGCTTCAGAAGGTACACATGGAGTGTTGTCACATACAAACTACTTTTCATTCTTATTTTTCTTGTTTCCTTATTTCAGGTGGAAATAACAAAAATTACTGGATTCTGGTCAAATAAGAATCATGAGCTCTGTTCAGAATGTGCTGCATTTCTGTGTTTTCAACCATAGCTTTCTAGGTACCACATTCTCCATTCTTTTATAATCTAGAAATAGGAATTCTCAATCTTTTTTTTTAAACCTCATTCTCTTTTGATAAACACAAAAAATTTTACCGTACACTGCCTTCAGAGATTCTTAAAGGCCCCCAGCCCCTGTGGGCTATTTTACTCTCTACCCCTCTTCGAAATCACAGTTATGTTTTCTCACATCTTGGATTACAAAAGTAGGGATTTTGTTTCCAAATATGCTTATAATTTTGAAATAATTTTTTAAACCAAACAACCGCCACCCAAAGGCTTGAAAGCTTGAGGGTCATGCAGTGCCTCTGGCGTTCAAATGCTGAGACCATTCATTGCTACCAGTGTCTTTATCGTTTTATTTATCATTTTATTTTTTAGAAAGTAGCCCATATGCTTCAGGGTGAGTTTGTATCTGAATCCAGTGCAGCCTGGAGAACTGGAATCTGGCTGCAATTAATGTATATCCATTTCCAAATATATAAAACCTAATCTGTAACTTGACTGATTTAAAAATGACCCAAATAAAGAGTGAAATAAGCCAGTTGATTTTTTTAGAAAAGATCTATCTTATCAAAGTGGATTTTTACTTAAGGAATGGAGCTTCCTTTTATGATGATATTAAAGAAAAACATTAGCCCCTGCCTTGTGTAGATAATGAATTATATACTAAAATGTGTAAAGGTAATAGCACTTCCATATTAATCACAGTATTCCTTTTCTTCTTTTTTAACTAGACCACCTCATACAGAATCTGCTATCTCATGTCACTCATTACCATTGCCTTGCTTTTCTATTTCACATCAGCAAATGCTTCGGAACAGAAGGGAGGTAAAACACTTTCAGTGGCTAGCTTTATTGGACAGATGACACTTGAGCTTCCCAAACATCAAACTTGTATCTACTATTTACCCCTCCTTTAAAAATAAACTTTGATTACAAAACTACTAGCTAATTCTTTTCTAAAATTTGGAAAACACTGAGCAGCTTAAGAAGTCAAATGAAAATCACATGTTATAGGTGCAAAATTGATCTCCAGAAAGTATCTAAAAGTCTGCATTCCCCTCAACACAATGTCTCTTCAGTCACTCATGCAAATATTGTCTCTCTGCTAATTTGACAAATGAAACAAGTTCTACAACTCTAACTTCAGTTACTAATGGTTACCTACATAATGAATATGCTGACTGCCTTTCTAAATGATCAATTTTCAAACTTGAAACATTTTAGTCCTGTTAGAATTTTTATAGAGTTAACTTTCAAGCTAAAAGTAAGTGATCAGTCTCACCTGTACAAGAAGTTTATGCCAACCCCAGGCTTTGTTGTTCAAGGTAGTGGTGCTACTTTTCAGACTTAAAATTCTCCAATCATCACTCGTCCTTCAGCTCTAGTCAGTGTGAATAGATTCTTGTATGACACCAAGTACAGCAGGAAGAAAAGGAAATTAAATAGAGTATTGAAGAAATTCAAAAGTTATGGTAAATGTAGCAACTACCTCCTCAAAAAAAAAACCCTCATTTCTCTATTTTTGTAGTGGGAGGAAGTTAGTGGACACTATTATACTGTACTTCCTTATGATCATTTCATGAACCAGTTACACCTCAGTTAGCTTTATTAGCATGCCTGGCTGAAGTTCAAAGGTTTAAGCCCCACAGCTAGTTAGTTTTGTACAACACAGTGATAGAAGGAGCCACTCCATAATAACCCAATAAAATATTGGAACAAACTTGTCTCTAAAACTGTTTCCTGATGGCTTCTTTGTAATTCATCTTTATCAAGAATAAAGGGAAACAAAACTCGGTGTTCTGCCTGTAGCAGCTTACCAGAATCGAATATCTCAGAGCTGGAGTGGAACTTCATGATCATCCATGGGTGGAAACCTTTTGTTTTAAGGATAAAGAAGTGAGGCCCAGAGCAGCACACTGTAAGCATAGACGGGTACCCAGGGGTTTGGTTCCCAACTTAGTTACTAATGAACTAACCCATTCTACTTCAAATTACCCTGTGCTGCCTCCATTCAGATTCAAAGTAGTACATTGTTTGGAGCATTTCGTAATAGATTTGGGGAGTCCTGGAAAGTGCAGGAATCTGAAATACCAAATATACCTCAGATAAAATGAATAGTTATATTATAATATGAAGAATTGTGAAACCAATTTTATGTATAGTATTATCTCATCAATCACTCCATGAATCTGTAACTAAATGAAAACTAAGTGTGTACAGCGGGGGAGTCAGGCTTGCGTCATGCACTACTCTCCCTTGGGTAGTTAAACCAGTGGGAGTCTGAGAATGGGAACAGAAATCTCATTTCATCAAGCCTGAGCACTTTTTATCAGTAAATCTTCATTTAAAATTAATAGAAGTACTTTGCCATTTCTCAGAATCCCCAATGCTTATTTCATAAATTCTTCCTAATGTCTGCTAATATTACTCTCTAAAACAAAAGTGAGAACTACCTGAGTGTCTGGATTTCGTTCTGCCACTGTTTTCATCTGCAACATTTGCCACCTGTTCTTAATTAACAACAGTGATTCCTCCTGGGTTACACAGCCACTCACTAAGTAATTCGGCCTCTAGAATTCCTTTCATTTTTACTTAAACAGTTTTTCAAATTCCAGGAAGGAATTACTTAGAACAAAAGACTGTTTGAAGTAATTGAGAGAAGAAAGAAAAGAAATGGAATGCTGTTTATAAGTGATTGAAAGATAATTTTACTATGACCTGTTTGAGGCTTAAACACCTTTGGTCCCAAAACTCGTAAATTACCTCCATTGTCCCCAAAGTCAGTAAATGATACTATCAGTTCTTCAGTTATTCATGAGTCATCCTTGATCCCTCTCTCATCTTCACATCTCCCAGCCAATCAATTGCTGCTACTGCAGCTTCTACCACCACTACTGGTATTAGCCACGTTTAATGAAAGCTGCTTATGTGCCAGGCACCCTGCCCTGTGTTTGACATGCATGCCTATGTAATCTTCTCGATCCCCTGTGAAATAAGTTCTGTGAAATAAATATCTTCATTTTAAAGGTGAAGAAAACTGAGCCCCAGAAAGGTCACATAAGTTGTCCAAGGTCACGCAGCCATCTGTCCCCACAGCATGGCAGCTGGCTCCCCCCAGAGCAAATGACTCAAGAGAAGACCAGAGCTGCAATGCATTTTTTTAAATCTAGCTTCTGAAGTCAACACTGTCACTTCTGCAGTATTCTGTTGATCACACAGAGCTACCAGTGCCTCAGTGTGGGAGGGGTGAATAGACGTGATGATTGTCAGAAGCCATCTTGGAAGCTGACTACCACAGGTGTCAGTCAACCATTGAACCAAGGGAGAGTCAGAAGTACTGCTTCAAATGATTGTCAGACAACTGATCATTTATGAGGCAAGAATGCCTGCATAGGTGTTTGAGTTTTGCCATTTCTTCCTCTATTTTGATTTTTGGCACTCTTGTGTTTTTCTCAAATAGAGCAATTCATTTAACAACTTTTGGAGTTCCTACTCTGTTTCTAGTGGTGGGTGGAGGTCACAGAAGAAGCATATTCACCACAAGCTAATTTAGGGCCTCTGGAAATTCAAGAATGATTGCACAAGCAAGCCAAGAATTCAGATTAATAGGTGATGTGTGGTACAGACTTTAAATGCTCTATGAATTTGAAAAGGAAGAAAACAGTGACTCAAAGTGGTTCTGCAAGGCCACAGGAACTTGAAGGAAAGAGAAGAGAATGCATGGCATGCAACAGTACTTTCAACTGCATTCAGACAGAGTTTCCTGTTCTCTGCTCTAAAGCAGCAGAATTGACTAAAAAAGAAATCAAGCCCATTTCTTTTCTATCTTTGAAAACTTTGGACTTTGTTAAGCTAATTTTTACCCCATAGATATCAGTATAAATTCTTTATAATGTAAGTGATTTTGACTTCCCTAACTGAAATAAAAGGAAATTTTATTTATATTTTTCTAAGATACTAGGAAATATTTCTTGCAATTCACTAAAAAGCATAAATGTCAGAGAATACAACATTATTAACAAAATGCAATTTCTCCAACTTGTCTGGCAGAAATTTCAAGAACTTCAAGTTCTCTGTAAAAGTGACCTCTTAGACTTTTCTCATTCAGGTTACCAGTAGTTTCCTTTGGTCCTCATTCATCTTTGCCATCCGTCTCCTCTTTAAAGTTCTGCTCCTGTTGTCCAAGTCCAAATGCACTTGCCCAACAGTTCTTAATTACCTATGTCATCAGCCAAATACTGCACTTGTAAGTGTTCTGCTCTGACCCTTATGAGGTGTTAAGAGTAGTTACCCGGCATATGTGTCCTGCCTTGTGCTAGGTGTCCAGCTTTTGTGATATTTGTGTGAGTATCGACTGCATTTTTAAGTCTGGCCCCAGAATTCATCTGGAGTGGTTCAGTAAGAATGGTTCAAAGGGCAGGCATGTGGTCATTTATTTTGACAATCCATGGTGAGGTCTATACAGCAGGGGTGCGTGAGAGGTTTACTGACTCATGTGGATTACAGGGGTTAGGGTTAGGGTCCCTTACCAATTTCTGTCAGAGCCAGAACCCAGAGGACATAGGACAGCTCAGCCATACCTGAATCTTTGTGTTTCAACTAGACAATTATTTTGGGCTATCCAAGCTAGTGAGTGTCTAAACTGGCTACTAAAAGTCGGCCTTTTAAGTATTCTCTCTGACCAGTCAGGAGCTCAGGGCACTTGGGAGGCTGTTGTGCAGAAAGAACAGCATGCCTTGTTCAGTCCGCATTAGAGCATAACATTCAAAAGGTAATTACTTCTCCAAAAGGGGGACAGTGGAAGCCTTGATTCAATTCAGTGCACACCCAAGCCATTGGGTACCTTTAGGAGGAGCAAAGCACAGACCTATTATTCAAAACTGCGGTTTGTTCATGGCTCTGTGAGCCCCCTGCTCTCTTCAGGATGTGGTGTCTGGCCACAGGCCTGTCTAGTTGCACTGCTTTCAGGCCCTTGCTACCAGCAGCTGTAATCATGGCTGTCCTACCCTTAATCAGAGTGTGAAGAACCTCTTCTTGGTCCTAAGAACTGATTTCTCAGCAAACCATGGAATATTCCCTCAAGAACTGTTCTAAAAACAGAAATTACAGCCCAAAGTTCGGAAATTTATAATAGTGCAGAAAAGTGGTTACCTTTTTAAGAAACGTCTAATGACAAAACATAAGTGGACTTCCTTATCACAGCTTCACTATTCACCTTTGGCTTTTGTCTGTTCACATAGGCTTGAATATACTAAATAGATATTATCTTCTGACGTACACATGTGAGGAACACTGTAGCAGCCTTGGTAGCAGTCCTAAGAATTGGAATGAGGTGGCATTTGGTAAGCAGATAGGAAATTATCTGATTTAGGGAAGGAAAGAAACTTCAGCATTGGATCAAAAAATATTTTTGAGGACGGCCCAATTTTGAATTTCAACATCTTTGAGTCAGGCAAATTTGGTTCATGCTTCAGAACCTACCTTTTTTTTTTTTTACAGGTTCTTTGAAAAGCCAAAAGTAGATGAAAATTCCTGAAAGTGAAGTATATGATGATAATCTTAAAAATAAGTTAGGCCATCATATTGCCACAGGTACAAAACACATGCATAGACCTATACCCTGGTAAACAGTGGCCTGGGTTGCAAGGAGATTTAGAGAATTAAGAAGCAATCAAATACTAGTGCCCAGATCTCTCACCACTGTCCCTTTCTTCCCAAGGCCAAGGTTTCCTGGGCATTTTATTACCAATCACTTCTTTTGACTTTCTACATAAAATTGTCTTAAGGCTAAGTCCCTTGCTCCTTGTCACCTCCTGTCCTTATTCAAGGGGAAATTAGAGAGATGTCAAGGGAAGATGAAGAAAAGTTGGGTGTCTGAGGTCTTACCTGCTGTGCCTGCTAATATCTATATTCACTTTCTTTTATTAAAAGCCCCAAGTATTAAAATAACAAGCTTTCCTGAGAACCACTTCTAGAAAATTTTATATAATAGTAAATGACAGCCACTGAAGTCATTTTATATCTTTATTTATTCATTTAATTTTTAAAATATCTCTGGGATAGATACTATTACTATCATTTTCTAGATGAGGTGATTTAGGTCCATAGAGGATAAACAACATGCTGATGGTTGTGTAAGTGGTATATAAGGCCTAGATTTGAACCCAGGTTGTGTGCTTTCACATCCCATATTCTTAGCTGCTACCAGAATCTGGCTTACTGTTTTGGATAGTGACCAAGAATCCCCACTGACCAAAAATGTATGTCACTTACATACCTGTTTCCAGTTTTCAATCTGGGAATTTATTAACTCCTACCAACTCTCCGTTGTAAAGATACCTTTCCCTTTTGTAATTGACAAGTAATCTGAGGGTCATATTTTGAGGCTCTTTGGATGTATTATTTCCCTTTCACCCAACTGATTTTAGCATTCATTGATGATCTTCGTAGCAGTTTTTATGTTGGTGGCTGCATCTCAGTAATCTTTTGATGAATGCAGACGTTTTTGACTGGAAGTAGCAATTTTAGGGTATCACTCTAAATAAGTCTTGGTATTTTAGTTATTTCTCAAATTGCACTATATGTGGCATCCTTTCTAATATTGCCACGTTGTCTCTTCTTTGCTGTCCTACATCAAAAAATAGCCTAAAATGTATTGTTTTAATAAACCTACAAATAATCTATTACAGTGAGGAGATTTAAGTTCTCTGGAGTTCCATATATCCAGAAATAATCTGGTAGGGAAAGTTGGAAAGAAGAAACCACAGTAAAATTTTAATTCAGAAAGTCTGTAAGAGATTCGTTTCTTTGTTGATGCTTTGGCCAGCAGAGGGCAACGTATTACCAACCCGAGTTAAACCTCTTTTGCTATGAAAGGTCGAACCATAAGCTGCCCACATTGCACTATTTTCCAG